AAAAAAAAAAAAAGAGAAAGGAAGAAAAAATTGATCGGCTTAAACGATTTGAAACGTCGTAATATTTTTTTGAAACATGAACCCCAACATTGCAAAACCTAAATGGAGAGTCTGAACGGCATTGTTAAACAATATTGTTGAAAACTAGCGGCACAGATTCTTTCAATTTGTTTTGCATAGCCCAACAACAATCCTAACGGTAAATACAGTGAATGGGAAAGTTTGCATTTAGCACATTTTCATTTTGGTTGTTCAGTTAATAACAATTATCATACTTTTACTTCTGTATCAAGCATAACTTTCTGTAAATCATTTAAAAAGTCCTACTTTATTTTATTTTTGTTTTTCTTTTTTTTTTTTACCTTTTTCTTAATTGCCTTTTTTCGCTATAAGAGGTTTGAACTGGTTTAAACGCTCGTTTTTGCTGCTTCTGTTATATCGTTATGACTTACTGTGAACGTCATTTTAGCTTCTGAAAAAGAAAAAAAAACAGGGTACTGACTGATAATGTTTTTAAAAACTATACATATTTGAGTTTCGTGACTGCTCTCGAAACAACTTCTTCTTTTTTCTTCTCTCTCCTCTGTTTTTCTTTTTAACTGTAAGAAAATTTTAAAAGTTTATAAATGGTTTTGAAAGAAACCTGTAGCTGGCTTTTGTAAACCCATAAATAAAACGAATGATTAGATAAGATTCTCCTAATGTTATCAGATTCAGTAAGAGTTATTTTACGATCAACTAACAATATTGGAATAAACTTTCAAAAAAACTGTAGAAATCTATAAATTCTGGAAATTCGTAAACGAAACTATGAGATAGAAGATCAACCTCTTCTTTTTTTTCGAAATATATCTTTCATTGGTCACCAGTTAAACTGAACTTCTTTAAAATTCATTCTGCCCAAAATTTCCAATCTGGAAGACTTCCGGCTAAACCACTCTAAAACGTATTAGTTTTTGTACTGATAGATGCACCTCGATGCACCTTTGGCTTCGATAATTTTGTTGATGGTAAATTTGAGAAGAGTTTACTTGCTAATAATTTTGCAAAAAGCTTTTTAATCATTCACTATCAGAACATTTAACCGCAGTTTCAACACTGAAAATTTTTATCATATTCTGCTCTGTAGAATTTTGTAATATCATCCTGGCAACTTACTGTAATTGTATATTATTATATTTTTTTAAACTCTTCTGCATGACGGCAATGTTTAGTAAGGTGTTAGATTTCAAGATGATTGACTAATGAAAAGTAACAAATAGTGTCTCATTCAAAATGTGTACTTGAAATGACCATTAAATTTGTGATATACAATACGACGGTTTTGTCGGAAGTCCTCTTTAATGGAAGAAAAAAATTGATAATCCGGAACCGGTGGAACAGTGAAGAAAAGATTTGGTTGCTACCGTATTTGCCAAATCGTTGAAGTCAGAAGCGCAAATATTTGAGGTGCGAGTGGCGGATGCACCTCGATGCACCTCAAAAATACCGCATCGGTTGGCGATTAGCCGACAGGTAAACTGTCCCCAACAAATTGTACACATTGAGTTTACCTACTGAATCTTAGAAGCCAACAGATTACTTTTGTTACTATCATTTATTTTATTTTATTTCCCTGTACATTCCTCTTTTTTTTTTCTTTGCTTTGCCCTTTCTTTTTCTTGCTCTTTGAATAACAGCTATATTTTATTGTTTAATTTTTTCAAACAAAAAATTTATAATCTAAACAAATACACTGTAACCCGGAAGTTATCTTTTGACAAAGAAAAAAAAGTGTATCTTTTCCTTATTTTCCATAACAGTACAATTCTAGAGTTTTGTTATAAAATGTAAGAAGAACGAAAAGCAGAATAAAGGAAGAAGAATTTTGTAACGTATTTTTTTACATCGAGCGGTTAATTATAATTCAAGTTTGAAGGCAAAATAAAATTATGTAAGTTGGTAAAACTGAAAAAGAAATAGCTTAATAGTTTTTTCTTTTTTTCTTTAGAAACGGAGAATTTATTGTAAATTTCTAGGTTTTTGAGATATATAGTGAAAATGATATAAAATTACAGATTTTTTGAACATAAAACCACTTGACTTATGTTAAGAATTATTTTACCTCT